GAAAAGCATTGTGATGAGAGACTTCTTTTGAACGTGATTGAGGAGGCAATTACATTTTGCGTCTCACTTTCAGGATTTTTTTTTTTAACGCTCCCCTTTCTTTTCCTCATTCTCCGATGGCAGAAAATTCGACCACATCAAACCATGTTTGTCTTCTTTTACCGTCCCCTGGGGTGCCAGCGCTGCAGAAAGCCCAAGAGATAACAAGGGGAAAGACATAAAAGCACATAAACAACACACACACACACACACACGCACGCTCACACACAGCAAGGAGAGTAAGTGTGTGTGCTTGTGGATGTGCAAAAGTTCAGACTCATTCATGCAGATGACTTTAAATAAGTGTGTGGTGTTGTGTGTGTGCGTACACTGTGCTGTGTGTGTGTGTGTGTGTGTGTGTGTGTGCGCATGCGTACATACTCACAGAGTTAAAGTTTAGAGCGTTTACCCACTGCCACCTCTTTTCTTTGTGGCTGTGATACACACATGCACACACAGGTCGACACACCGCCCCATCCAAAAAAAAAAAACTCTTGACTTGACCACCGCCTCCCAGCAGCCTTTGCAGTTGGACAGAGAGTATCAGTCTTTAAGTGTAGGTCTTCCACCAGCTGCCTCTAAACAGAGGGTTTTATCACAGCATGGTGTGAAGCCTGAATACAACCAATTACCCAGTTATAACCGACGTGCGCCATGGCAGCTGCTCTGCTCTTTTTGCTCTTTTATAGATAGCATTGTTGCCTGGTACAGTTTAAATGTGTGTGTGAAAGATAGAGAGGGAGGAGAGCGTGCACACGTGCCTGTAAGTAATGCACGTAAAGGGTTTTTCATCTTTCTTTCTTTTTTTTTCTTTTTTTATCGCCATATGCTGACTGAGTTTGAGCAGCGGCTTGACGGGCAAACATGTGATCCACCCAGATTTTTCCCGCTGGTTAAGTGGATTGGTAACAGTGACCTTCCGCCATTTCTGCCCCTGTGTGAAAACGCCGTATCCTGCTATCGAGCTCTTTTTTTTTTCTTTTTTTTAATCCTTCTTTCAACTAGGTGGGTAATGTCACGTGGGGGGCCTGAAGGACAGGACATAGTTCTGTTCTGCAGACAGGTGTTCTGACCTTCTGTCTGCTCTCCCACGCCTCAGGGGACCTCTGTGAAATAGAGGCCAAGGCTTTGACCTAGTCTCTCATCTACAGTTTGTCTCTAAATCGAGGCACACTGCAGATGCAATGAATCAAAATGCTGGAGAGAAATGCATCAGCACCAGGCCTTTAAACCAAAAACTGGAACCATAGATTTTTAAGGCTCATTTGGAGGTATTTTGACTATCAAAGAATAATCAAAGAAAATCAGTGTCGGCCATTATTTTTCTTCAGAGGGCTGTCTCTCTCCCATCCCTTCAATCACAAATCAATTGAGCACCCATATGCTACAATTAGATTTCTCCCTCCAATACCCACTGGCCATGGCAAGATTGCATTATTCAGAGATGGAGATGAAAGTCCCCTCTGATCCACCAAAATAACATCTTGTGCAGTAATCTGTTTGTAGATTTGATTCCTTTGATGATATTTCCCCTGCAGTTGGCTTTTCACCAGGTCGTCATAGCTGTGAAAGCCGCACGAGCGTGTGTGTGTGTGTGTGTGTGTGTGTTGTACACATCGTTTCTGCCGTTTACTGGCATCACACTCGCTTACCTTGTAAGCAACGATGGCACTAAGCTGTCAGCACCCATCTCTTAAAGAATGCCAAGAATGACCACGGTGGCAGATGGAAATTCTGCGGTAATTACAGGAGATAAAAAGGGACACAGGAACGGTTACAAAACTTTGAAGAGGACTTTGACGGCCATTCCCCAAGAAGCAAAGAACAAATGGGGACTGCTTTTACCTTACTGCTTTAATGTGTTGTACTGGATCAAAGTCTTGATTGCACTGGTACCAAGCAAATCAAGGTAAAAGCAAAGAGTGAACAAACCCATCACTTCGCCACACTTTGTTACAGAGATCCCTTTTTAATAGCTCGTCCTATTAATGAACCAAGTTATTTTCCAGACAATGAATGACATTCTTCCTTTGATGCGCGCTTGCAATTTTAATTAGATGCACATTTTAAAAGGTTTTTGCCTTTACTGCTAGTACTAATGTGAGGCATCTGCACTAATGTAGAGTACACACTGCTACAAAAAAAGTGAAAGCAATAGTAGCATGTTGATTTATTTCGTTTCAATAAGGAAAAGCTGCATTTTGGCGCTCTCATTCCAGTGTAGCAAATTTTTAATACTGGGTAAAAAAAAAAAAAAAAAGAAAACAGAAAACCTTGAAAACACTATTGTTTATTAACAGTTTTGAGGCCAAGTTATTGCCCAAGGAGGTGTTAGTTGAAGTAATTGGGAGTATGCATGCTAAAATATGCTAGAAATGCTAAAATATGCCATTGCTTATCCTCTCTTTCATGTAATTAGTCTCCATGAAAAAAAATCACTGAAATTCAATCGCATAGGCGGGCTCCTTCCAGGATCACCCGAGTCACCTGGAGAAAGCCCTCTTGCTCTGTAGTGAAGTTATTCAAATGAAACTCTTGACCTTGGAAGTTTAGCCTAGCTGCTACAGTCCTCCTGCCCCTCCACAGTAGCGTGCAGTTCTCGCCCTCCCTCTGTCGAAATCTTAAGATGAGAATCAGAAATGATGCCACACTCCCGTTTTGCACAATGTGTGAATTGGTATGCAGTGGACTTCCTCTCTGTGTGGAAATACAGCCGGTGCAGTCTGGGCCCAGCAGGTTGTTAGGGAAATGTGCTACATTTCTGCGATCTCGGGTTCTGTCTCCTCTCTGTACTTGTGCAGATAATCACCCACTTGTGTGATTGTATGTGAGAAGCCATCATGTTTTGAGCGCTTGTGTGTGTGCGCACATGTTTGCACACTTCTTATACAGTGGAGCATCACAATGTGCATTTGTGCCTCCGTCAATACGCCTGTTTGTGTGTGTGTGTGTGTGTGTGTGTGTGCGCGTGTGCGTGCGTCAGTCAGTGTGCGTGTGGCTTCCTGTGTGTGTTTCATTGCGAACATTGTCTTCTTGAAACACTAAGCAAATCTCCTCAATGTGATAATTGGCTCCCTGGGGTGCTTGTATCTTTGCTGCTCATCATCGTCATCCCCTCCAGAAAAAAAAAAAAAAAAAAGGAGAGAGTGTGTGTTAGATGAGATAGGCGAAGTTTGCTCGTTTGCTGGGGAAAACTGATCCCAAGTCTGCCTGAACTCTTCTGGCAAGAAGAAACTTTGAGGCAATGAGACAGCGGGGCCACATCCAGTGCAACCTGGCTGCAGGCTGCTATCTGCTGCTAAGGCATCAACGCCTTGTTTTCACACAGACACGCTGCCATGGAGGAAATGAGCTATTTGTGGCAGGTGATACACGAGGCAAACATCAGCTTCAGTTGTTGCAATGTCATTGAGAGCAATCGAGAGATAAAAAAAGAAAAAAGAAGAGGAATCTCAAAGGGAGGCGTCTGTGTTAAACCAGCCATGTATGGTTATTAGTCACAAAAAGCGAGGCAGTTGTTTGAGGCCCGGGATGCTTCAGTTGTTTTGATTTTTTTTTTTTTTTTTTATGTCACATCGACGACCTTAGTTGGTGGTGTGCAATTCTGACACCTGAGGAGTGTGAAATACAGACCTTTTTGTGTGCCCGAAGGCAAACAGAGACACTCATCTGGTCGACAGAGTCTCTCCCACTCTCTTACTCCCTCATATCCATATGTTCTCGCAGTCCCCAGGGTTTTATGGACCACAGAGCAGATTGTTGGCCGCTTCATAGGGGAAACAGCGAGACAGCTGGGCACCCATCACAAGGCCAAACAGATGTTCAGGTGACTTGGGGAAGAAGTGAATGGAAACGAGAGGAACGGCAGGGAGTGGAGACAGAGGGAGAGAGGTGGTGTGGAAGAAAGAGATGCAGAGGGATGATGGAGGCAGGATGAAAAAAAATGAATTAAAACATTGATGCAAGAACTCAGAGACTTCATTAGCAATCCCCCATCAGTGTCTGAGGTGAGCCAAATGCTTCCCACTATCCTTGGGCCACAGGAGTCTGTTTCGTCTCCCATATTGATTCACGCACTAGTCGATCTGCTGTAGGTCTAATGCCTTTGATCTCTTGATTATCTTTGCCTAAATGTGGACAAGATGGCTAAGCGGCTCAAGGATTCAGTGCTTTAATTCTGACGCACCTTAGGGAACATTCAGAAGTTGAAATTGAATCTGACCCTGCAACCAAATAATGAAACTTTTCTCTCTTTTTTTCCTGCTCCACGTGATGATAAAAAAAAAAAGGAAATCCACAAACAACTTCCACATATTCTGTGGCTTAGGGCCAAGACTGATCCAATCAGAGCCTCTAATCTGCCACAAATCTGCATTGTAATAATGAAAATTTTCATTCCCCCCCACTGAGACCTTTTTTTCTTACTCTGCATTTGTCAAATTAAACCCAAGGAAAGTTCTTGGATTGTTTTTTTTTTATATATATATTTTCTCCCCTCTTTTCTCCTTTTCTCTGCCAGCCTTTGTTCTTTGGTTGCAGGTCTCATATATAATACATGAGGATTGGGAGACTTATCCGGTTCTGGCCATACTGGCTGTTATTCCCTGGAAAGGGGCTATATTTGAGAGCTGGATAAGTCATAGATGGCGCCGGGGGAGCCACTGACTTCTACCCAAAAGTGGTGGTGGCTGAATAACATTAAAAACCTAAAATAGAACTCAACACAATTACATTGGCGCTGTGGCGAGGTAGCTGTAAAGGAATTAGAGCAGACTTAGCTCCTAATAGAGGTAGTTTGGATCCAGTTTTTGCCAGAAAGGTGTCCTGTGATGACACTGTGATCCCCGGTGTCTAGTTAGACTATGGTTGTACATCACAGAATCCAATTTGACCCCATCTCTTTTATCTGCTTCTACAACAAATCTAATTCCACCCCTCTCTCCTCACTTGTGTTTCCACAGCCGGCACCACCTATATCTTCGGTAAAGGAGGGGGTCTGATCACGTACACGTGGCCTAACAACGAGCGGCCGAGCACACGGACGGACCGGCTGGCAGTGGGCTTCAGCACAACCATCAAGGACGGCATCCTCGTCCGCATCGACAGCGCCCCACGTCTGGGTGACTACATCATGCTCCACATTGTAAGTAGTAATGTTGCACCTTCAGTATTATTCAGCTGCTTAACATCACAAAGTCACTCATGTAATTGATTCAAAGCTAAACATCTGCTTCGAAATACTTGAGGATCTTATACATTCTATTAATCTATGCTTCTTCTATAAGCACTCATATGTTTCTAGCTTTACAACCACAAGCATACAGGAGCTGGCCAAGATGATGACCGCAAATAAACCTCTGAATGATTCCCCAAGGTTTACTCATTACAGTCTTCAGGCCAAATTCAGCTCATCATTGCGCAAACTGAATTATAGAAATAGTGCAAGATCTATAACAAAAAATAAATAAATATAGATAACACACTCCCCTACTCTCTCCTACCTAGTCTCTGCTCGCCATCCTCTTCCCGAATAACCCTGCTTCTCCACCACATTCAAACTGACTCCCAGCATGAATAATGAATGCAGCTCTCCATACATATGCAGTGTGTTCCCACATGTTGGAGAAACATGATAGAAACCAAGGGGAGGGGGCCAGCCAGTTGGAATTCTTGGCCAGTCGACTGTGCATCCACGCAGCATCTTAATAATCTCACTTTGTGACCTTGCGTTTGACTCGTTTACATAGGCATTAAGTATTTACATGATCGTCCACAGCAGCTAGACAAATGCAGGGCGTCAAATCTCCGCTGTGGAGGTATGTAGAGGTGGTAGTGATGGTGTTGGTCGGGGGCGAGAGAGCTGCTGCTGACGCCGTGCAAAAAAAAGAAAAAAAAAAAAAAGAAAGATGTGATGATGATGAGGAGGAGCTACAGTTGCTAAAGCAGATTGAAAGTCTTTTTCTTCTTAAAGAGCTCCCCTCATCTCCTGAGTGCTGGCCATGTGGTGCAGAAATGCAGCCATCTGCTCTGCAAAGATGAGGGCCAACAACAAGCAGTTTTTGGGCTGCCTTTACAGTATAGAGAGATAAAGCGAATGTGTGTGTTTGTTTGTGTGCGGGAGAGAGGAAGTGGAGTGGCATTGATGGAGAGAAATGTTAAAGACGGTACAGTAGCTTGTGAGGCAGCGATGTGGCGAAACGCCTCCCTGCGTGTTTCTAACCGACCGAGTAATTGCAGGAACCTCTAAAGGAAGGAAAAGGAATGCATTTTTAATTCTTGCTTTTTAGACATCACAGCCTCACTAGCCAAGCAGGGATCTGTAATCATTTGGCTGTGAGTCTTTGGGCGGCGAATGTCTTCATTCCTGCAGTCTCATGGCGCTAATGAATTTATTAATAGACAAAAGCAACTGGAGATTTCACCAATTCATTCAGAGAAGGAGCATGTTCTGAACAAAGTGTAGGGTTGTGTTTTCTTTTTCTTTTTGTTGTGCTGCATGAGTAACATTGCACCGCTAATATTCCAAATGATTTATTGACAGCCAAGGGTGTACAAACAAAGTGGGTTTCATTTAATATTAACAATGATTATAGCCTTAAACTATAAAATACTTGGAAAAAGTCTTGGCGCTGCAAGACCCCCCCCCCCCCCCCCCCAATTACACTGGTATTGACCAGAAACCAGATGAAGAAAGCCAGCCTCCTTTTAGCCACAGGTAATGAGTAAATAATTAATTAGACCTTGAGTGAATATTTAGCTGTGAAACTGGCGGATTTGGTTGCAACTCGAGGCAAATAAACCACTGCTTGACCCCACATTCCACTGTTTGTTGTTGTTATCAGGATACCACATTATCATTTGCCCCACATTAGACTTTTGCTACTCAGAACATTGGCTCTCCAGGATGATTACAACAACATGGGTAATGTCTTATTTCCATGTAAAACAACTTTGCTGCTTTATGTGTGGTGTAAATGCTATTAAATTAGCAGAGATTCCAGACTTCTAGACAGATGTCATTAGATAAAAACTCTTAATGACAGATGCCAGGTCTTGGTTGTCAGCATTTTAGCGTTTTAGTGATGAATCTGGAGGAGAAAGGTTAAAGGCGTTACACCTGTCGATATATTTCTAACCAAAGGTCTTATCAGGCCCGGGGCCATTTCATTAGCCTTTGCAACTGTTAGGTCACTACCTGAGAATCAGCACACTTAAAGTCTAGATAGGCACACTATAAAGTCTTAAATAGCTGAATGTATCAGGTGGCAGAGTCAACAAAAAGGAAAATAACCTCTGCCGTTTCACACTCACATTTTCATTGCGAGAAAAAAAGAGAAAAAAAACCCGGCAATTTCGAGGCAAGACCTAATCACTAACTCCCTCCTTAGCACTCCCTCTTTTGCTTTCTTCATTATCTGCTCCCCCTCCTCTCTGTGATTAGCTTACGGCTTGTTTGGCAATCATGAATTAAAATGCTGATTGTAGTGTTTACATTTTAACTGCTAAGAACAACTGCATGCTTGGTTTGAAAACTGAGGGGCAATTTGAGGTAATTTGCGGAGGTGAGCGCAACATTTTGCTATTGCTGGTATTCCATTTACGAGTTCATTTGATTTTTCTGAATGCGCGTCGGAAAATCAGATGATGATCCCCTCTCAGGTGACATCTCGTGTTTCATGTCGCACGTAGGGAAAAATAATCTAATGCTCAGATATGAACCTAAAGCAGCGTGGTAAACAAATATCAAAGGCCGTTTGTATCACAGGTGACTTTTTTGGTGAAAGATGAGTCGAAAAGGGGGGGGGGGGCTTGTGGCAGTACCGCAGTGATTAGTGGTAATGTGTGTGTGTGTGTGTGTGCGTGTGTGGGGTATGTACACGTTAAAGTGTGTCTGTGTAAGCTTAAATCCATGACAGAAAAAACTCTAAGCCGTGGGCTAGATTTGCCGGTCGTGACTCACACAGTCTCTTGCCAGGGACTGCACTTGACTGCACGTGAAGATTACCCGGGATGTAACACACACACACACAAACACACATGCGTCGAGCGAGAGAGAAAAAGCCTTTGGAGTCTCACCTCTACTACATCATTTAGGCAGAAAACTCTTCTTGTTATTACAAGAGCCGTTGCCACAAACAGACAAGACGGGACAATTAAGGGTGCAAACTTAAAGAAGCTGCTTGAAAGACATAAATCTGCTGGTGATGGTAAATTTTTATTAAAAGCTGAAGTTTCAAAACTGTCAAAATATTGTCTGGATATGAAAGGAAAAGCAGCACCGTCTATTTCTTTGAAGACACAACCTTGTGACTGGGATATCATCAATTTTAATCACTCATAGCTAGAAGAATCTGAAGGTAAATAAGATGGAGATTATGGATACAGCATACACTGTTTATACATCCTCTAAACTTGACATGTGATGTAAATGAGATGGTGATTGCCTGATTAGGCAGCATGAGGATGACTGGACCAAAGAGCCTCTAACTGATGTGTGCATTTAATCAGGAGGAATCCGAGAGCCAGTTACCCATTTCTTGAGTGAGGGAGTAGGTAAATGAATGGGTGATTTTTCTGTACAGTAAACAACCTAAGTCCATAAATTCCCATGCATATAATATAAACAAAAGCACATAAGTTATCTTACATTATTAATGCATCCACTTAGGTTATGAATGGATCTTATTTATGGATCCTATTCATGGAAACATAAGTTAATGCAGGATAACAGAATATAAAACCACTTTCTCATCTAAATTCAAACACTTTAAACACAGCAAAGTATACTAAGTGGTAACATAGTGCATGATCTGCTTCCATAGAATTCTGCCTTATACTCAGAAGTATGTTTATTGAATAGCTCCGAAACAAAACATCACTCTTTGTTAGGAGTCAATTCAATTCAATTTATTTGTATAGCGCCAAATCATACCAAACGTTATCTCAAGGCACTTTATGGAGTGAGGTCAAGACCTGACAGAATTATAGAGAGGGACAGTTCCCACAATGAGCAACGCCTGGCGACAGTGGGGAGGAAAAAACTCCCTTTTAACAGGAGGAAACCTCCAACAGAACCGGACTCAGGGTGGGCGCCCGTCTCCCTTGACGGGCTGGGTTGAGAGGGGGTGGTGGGTGGGGGAGGGAGAGAGAGAGAGAGAGAGAGAAAGAGAGAGACCAGGAACAGCTGTATATACTGTTGATATAGTGAAAAGAGTAATAGTAATACCCATAGGTAATGGCGTTATCAACAACAATAATGATAATAATATTAATAACAATAGTAATATTAATAATAATGATAACAGTAACAACAGTAGTAATTATAATAATAATGAGTTGTAGTGTCAAATACACATAATTAATTAGGATGCACAGTAAGAAGACTTAACAAACTCAGACAAAGGGTTTAAAGAGAACACACCGAACCTTATACAGAACAGTACCCTCCTCTTCTCTTAAAGTCCTCCACCTGTGCACTGACAGGTGAATCACCCCCCCCCCACCCCGGTCTCACAGAGCTGAGATTCGAGCTTGAGTGCCTTCAACATTGGCCAATACGTAATCTGCATTTATACAAGTTGCCGTTGACTATCTAAGAAGTGAAATTCAGAATGGAGACGAGAGAGGATGAAGAGGTGCGACTAAAGTCCTGAGCTATGTTTGATCACATTACATCACCGCAACACTGCGCTTGCCTCAGCCACCAGACCCCCATCTTTTTTATTGTTTGAACACCACGGCACATTGTGCGTGTGCGCGTGTGTGTGTGTGTTTGAATGAGGTTGAGCTCAGTTCATCATGGCTCCAGTGAGCCCAGACGAACTCACTTTTTGTAGAGACGTAGGTGACAAGTTGGAGTCAAGGCAAAGCAGAAATTGAGAACGCTCCGTCAAGTTTTCATGTCTGGCAGCTCTTTTGCTTTCCAATTAAGGTGGAAAATCACAGCAAGACACCTGACAAGATAAAGACTCTGCAAGTATTACAACACATCCTCTGTAACAGGTAACTTAGAAATATGCTGCTCTCCATACAACTTTGTAACAAAGAAAGCTACAATTGTCAGAAAATGGATAAATATGACATTTAGGCAATAAATACAATTTCAAAGCTTTTAAAAGCGGAGCTGCAATTTTTGAACTATAA